AGCTTCATCGGTTTGATCAACGATTTATCGAGGTTGCGTATAGCGAGCTGATGGGATCTAATAAGATCGAACTAATAACAATTCTAAAGATGAACTAATTAGTTTCAAGTTATCCGAGATACCTTACCAATAAGATAAAAACGATTCGCGTCTAGTAGTAGTGTCGACAAATTTTTAGTCATGAACTTAACTAACGTTCTAAAAAATATAACTGTTCTAAAGATGAACCAGCTAGTTTCAAGTTATTCGAGATATCTTATCCAAGACTCAATATGATCGAAATCGCGATACGAGTCTTGTGGTGTCGACAAATTTCTGGCCATGAACTAAACTAACTTTCTTAAAAATATACCCGTTTTAAACATGAACTAACTAATTTTAAGTTATCCGATATGTATGAAAATCGGAAAGTATTTTTTTGGATTTTCTTTACTTTTTTTTGTATTTTCGGATAAAAAAGTACCTACACAAGTTCATTCAGAGCTGCAAACAAAAAGCTGATTTCACAAATCATCATTTTTACTAACGATAAATTTCAGATATGCACCTATATGTATCTCAAAACTAGCCGGAAGTGGTACTCGTGGTATCTCGCCAAAATCCATCCTGTGGTCCTGCAGTTTTATAGCAACAGACAAACAACGCCTCCTAGTGACTTTTATTTTATATATTTTACCTATTGCAAATTAGGTAAGGTCACTGATCGTTACAAACTGCATCAAAATAAATAAGAAATGCATTTAAAAAGTTTGTTTATTTATCGTTGACTGAGATTGCTGTGACATTCTTTAATCTTAAGAAAAGTGGTTTAAGTGGACCACATAATATGACAATATCCTCTTAAATGTAAGTTTCAACCTTTCACTTTTTGTCTTTAAAAGGATTAACCCAGAAACACTAGCAAATGTAAATTTTACGCGGAAAATGTTGCATGACTTCTAACTTCAACTCACGCGGTTAAAGGATAAGCAAAGTACATTTTAGAGGTTTAGACGATAATATTGTTAAGTACTATTCACTATATACATACATATATCTACCAATTTTCTTTCAATAAGTTCTAAATTTAGTTGTGAAGTAGCCGCAACATCACACCAAGGATTCATGATCGGTCAAATTAAAATTTTGATTGGTATACTTAAATCTTCTAATAAAAAAAAACCTAATGTAGCAAGTATCCTTTATTAATAATTGTTATTAGACATCGGAAATCCTTGAGTAAACAAGTTATGTATCACTTACACAAACACGCTAATGTGTCTATATAGTTAGGTATATTAGAGGAACTTTGTTATAAAAACCTCAATTTGTGTCTGTTGCATTTTTTACTTATTATTTATTACCATTCATTTAGCATGTAACTCAAGTACAGGTTTTATTAATCACTCAAAGATAGCATTGACTAGGTATACGTATACATTGACTCATGATCCCATCAAACATTGATTACCAAACAATTTATTATTAACTCATTTTTGAGATTAGGAAATGTAATTATCGGCTATATTACAAAAGTGTAGAATGAAGGTTCGGAATTGAAGATGAATACAAAAAGGATGAGGTTTGTATTAATTCGTAACTGAAACGCAATTAGTAAAAGTAAAAAGTGAAAATTAGATTTCGTAAAAAATACCTTTATAACCCTGGAAACATTATAAATAACGAAAAAGAAGCCAACAGATACATCTTTATACCTAATTGTTTTGCCTTGGTTTCAATTAAATTTCATTAAACTTTTTGACGTCTAATGTGACAATTGACAGAGGACTAACGTGTTTCATGTCTAGTGTCTACAACACATTCAATCAGAAAACTCAAAATTTTGATAAAACAGAAAAATAAGTAATCTATCAGTCGGCTTTGTAGCTTATTCGGATAATGAAAAGTGTTGTGTCAAAGTTCTACATCCATTGTTTCGCTATAGCTTTTAGGTGTAATTTTGTAATTGGGGTTGTTAGTCATTTAAATAAGTTACTTCTACTTTATTTTGTTTACGTTGCAAACAATTAGTTTATTCTTATTGTATATTTGTATATTGATTTTTAATGATAGGTGTGTCATTAGGGGTTTATCCCAACATAATTGTATTTCAAATAGTTCGTATTCCTTATCTTTATTTTGTAGTCATAAAATCTATTACTATTTTCGTTAGAGTACAATGGTCGATACAATTGATCNCCGATAGATACAATTTTAGTGTTATACAATTGGTGAGTATACAGGAAATGCCGACGATGATTTGTACCAAATGGAATTTAGTAGATCTAATGATGTTTATCTAATAATAAGTCTAAAATTAAAAAAATATTACTGTTTTAACACGGAGAAAACTAAATTTTTATGGCAAAACAAAAATTACAATTTTCGATTGCAAATGACTGAATTTGATAATAGAAATAGTAAAATTTATTAGGTAACTTGTAATAATTTCAATTATGACATGCTTTTTTAAAAATTATTTCTAGTTTCTTAATTATTACAATTAAATTTGTAATATAAACTAAAATACCTTGTAAATTTATTTCTGCTGGATCTCATTTTTTACAAATTCGGGTCCAAATTATAATTTTTATTACTTTTCCTTACGAAGCAACGGGCTAGTCGCTAGTGGGATAAATTGTAAATATCGCTTTAATATTTAGGTAAATTTTCCTTTCTCATTTTCATCTGCAACATGTGATGATGTCACCTTATCTTCGAGTTTTTTTTAAATTTTTCGTTTCCTCATTGCTCTTTATTGTTTAGTAAAATTTTGTTGATTTAGTAATATTAATTTATTTGTATCCCTTAGTATAGGGCAGGGGTCGGCAACCTTTTCAGTCACAATTTATAAAATTTCAAAGTTTTCCAAAGAGCCACAAATTTTTTTCTTCTTGCCAAAAATAAATAGCACTCGCATTTAAATAAATTTTTTTGATAAAAGAGAAAGATCCTTTTTTTTTATAA